AAAAAAAATCAATTATTAAATAATATGTAATATTATATGAACAAATTATAGATAATCTCTCAATCATTTTCCCACTTCTTATTGCCAACTCACCTTTAGTATGTCATTCTTTCTCTAATTTCCAATCCCGGCTTGACATGTGGCATGCCAACTCATCATACAAAGCTAAATGTGATCCTTAAATCCCTCAATTTGTTTCAATTTTTGTTCATAAAAGAAATCCTCAATTTAATTTTTAAATACTTAAATCCTTAACATTTGAACATAAAAGAAAAAATGATTATTCCTCAACATTTTCCCTTGATTTGTGTTTACTTATTGTGTTTGGTTTTCTATCATCTCTTATGATATTTTAGACTAGCTACTAGTGACAAGAAAATTAGTAACAAATTTTATTCAATATTTTGTACGCATTAGTGATAAAAAAATTAATTTTTATTTGTCTTGATCAACTACAACAGCACAAAACATAAAGTTTTGATCGACTAATGTAGTCGCAAAATATATTTAATATTTTTTTACTAATATTCCATCTATTACAATTATTAATTATTTATTTTATAATGATAATTTTTATCGTCACAAGTTTATATTGTATTTGTAATTTTTTTTTTTGTGATGAATTATTTTACTATTAATGAATTTATTTCATTCACATTGAAAGTGTGTATTTTGTGATTAATTTTTTTCATTTGTTATGAATATGATGATTTGTAGTGATGAATTTTATCGTCACAAACATGTATTGTGTCTATAACTATTTTTTAGTGAAAAGATATCCTTTTAATCTTTAATTTATTTAATCAACATTGAGCATATGCATATATGTGACTAATATTTGAAATCTGTTATAATTATAATAAGTTGTATCGATAATTTTTATTATCACAAGCTTCTAATGTATTTGTGACTATTTTTTACTGATGAAATATCTTTTTAGTGACAATTTTTGTCATTATCATTAAGCATGTGTATATCTGTGATTAAATTTTGAAATTTGTCACAATTATAATGAGTTATAGTGATAATTTCAAAATTTGTTATAAATTTTCGTCACTAAAAATCCTGTCTTGTAGTGGCACCTCAACATTTTAAAATTCCCTCCGACCCAAAATTTTCCTTTCTAAAATTAGATCTAAAAATCTAATTTCCCTCCATGCCCACCATTCCACCATGATTTTTTTCCATTCAACCATTATTTTTTTCATAAGTATAAAAGGATTTGGACATCATATTTCCATACTTGTTCATCTTTCTCTTCTCTAAACTTCAATCTATTTCTGAAACCCTTTTTTTGATGTCCTTTTCTCTTCATAGCATCACCGGTGTTGTTGCCTGGTAACACTCTTTTTACTCTTAATCTTACTCTTTTTCCCTATTTCTCCTTAATCTGTCTCTAGTCATGAAACCAAAAACCCAATCCCTATCTTTCAGTTCTCTTCTCTAAGCTCTTCTTCTCTCCCTTCAACTTTTGTTAATGGCTACTAGTAAAGGCTCTAAATCTTATATTAGTTAGATATTTTTGAAACCTTAAATTGATTAGTCATGTGTTATCCTAAATTTGATATTTTGATTTGAGTAAATCTAAGTTTATCTTATGTCATTTGAAAATCCTAAATTATCAATTTTGGCATTTTTGAAATTAAACACTAGCTTATTTACAAATTTAAATCTTGTTTCAATTTTACATTTATATTGATTATGCTGAGTGCTAATTGTTAGTTTTGATCTTTCAATTGCAGTTCTTCTTCCAATTTGTGTTACATTCTTGATAACTCAAGAGATGGCAGAGATGCAACTTAACAACTTAAGAGTATGTATTAAGTTTTAAAATAGTTGATGTTAACTTCTTTACACTTAAGATTTATTTACTCTAAAGTATATAAGAAATAAACTAATTTGTAGTTAAACTTGTATGTTGGTTGATGCAAAATCAAGGTGTTCATGGTTTCAATGATGGTTGCTTAATGCAAAACCAAGATGCTTATACTATCAATGATAAGCAGCCATAAAATGTAGAAGCTAAATTAGGAGATTATTCTAGACAAGCACAACTAAAAGGAGAGAAAGGCAAGAATGTTGTTAATAGGAAAAGCAAGAAAGGTAAGCAAAGATTTAAAGTATGGGATCATTTTACTGAGATTGTTGATAAGGATGGGAAAAACAAGGCTAAATGTAACTACTACAATAGGTCTTTAGCTTGTAATGGTATAACTAATGGGACCTCCTTGATGAAAACTCATTTATTGAGTTATGGTCATTATGCTGGGTTTAGAAAGAATCAAACAATGCTTAGTTATTGTGGTGGTGATGCTGAGAATGATGGCCAAATGCCTTACTTAGGCACCTAGAGGTTTAGCCCCAAGTCTATGGCAAAGGATTTAGTTGTATTGATCAGAGTTCATGAAATTCCATTTAGCTTTGTTGAAAAGCAAGGGTTTAGGAAGTTTTGTCTACTTGCATTACCCCCTAATTTTAGGATTCCATTTAGAAGGTCAATAATTAGAGATTGCTATAATATTTATATGGATGAAAGGTTGAAACTTAAATCATTTTGCAAAGAATCAAGGCAAAGGGTTTCACTTACTACTAACACATAGACCTTAATTCAAAGAATTT